ATATATATATTCCTTTCATGGGAATTGAGCTCACGTCCGCAGCGTGGAAGGGCAACGAGCTTATCATTACTTCAAAGACGTCAATGGAAGGAGAAAAATAAAAACGGACAAGCCAATATATAAACTGACAGTATTGGTTATTCTTCAACAAACAGAGTTCTTTCTGGCCGCGGTTGAAACAAGATAAATTGAAATCGCTCTTTAAATCTCATCAAATCTTTGCCAACGGGTCTAAAAGTTGGATGACCAAAAGAATCTAAAAGCCCATTCATAATTAAAGGACACTGCAAACTAAGGTTCCGACACGTTTCCTTTAATGTAAGCCCAAAACGGGGAAAAAAATAATATACCTAAAGCATAATTTAAAAGTTGACAAATTTTCCCAAATACTCCAATGTACATAAAATTTAGGAAACATGATTCAAGAGACGCGGTGGGTAATTTTCGGGACTCACGTAGAACACACGTTTGCGGCACTCTCAGTTCTATCGGCTTTAGTCTAGACAGCTGGGGGAGGAAATCACCAAGTTTCCACTGAAAGGAGGAGGAAGGGTGGTGTCACTGTCTCAAAATGAGACATTTGTAAGCTACGAACGCAGTAAGAACAAACATCAACACGTCTTCTGCGCGGATTCGTCTTTCGGTGTGAAAGTGCATTGGAAACCCTATATTTTAAACCTTCTACTGAAACGCAGTGACGACAACACAACTTCACTTCGCTACAACTTTTTGATGATTGAAAGTGCACAATTCATTGCCTTGCTACATCGCGGACCCTGTCTCGCGTTCGGGTTGACCCGGCCTATACATAATGTATATCAATATCAACAATGTCAGACTTCTGATGATACATACGAGTATTATACACAACAGAATAAAAGAATCTAGATCAAAACACAAAGTTGAATTTGTTCAATAAAAGAGTGACTTTAAAAAAAAGTATCAACATGTTATTATTATTCTTTATATCCCTGACTTGTGTTTCATGGAGTAGTAATTCCATTAACAATAATTAACGACGACGACGATGATAATGATGATGGTGATAACGACGACGGTATTGGTGACAATGATGATGGCTACGACGGTAATCGTGATGATGATGATGATGATGATGATGAGGATGAGGATGATGATGATGATGATGATGATGATGATGATGATGATGATGATGATGATGATGACCCACCTTGTCAGTGGAGTGGTACCACTGAGTCATAGATCCTATGCTTCTTCAGCCTCGGTCCCGCCACCGCCCGCCGTCTGCTCGGCAGGGGTCTCTGAAAGCAGACAGTGTTGCGTCAAGTCAATATCGTGTTGCAAAATTTGGAGTAGAATTTTAATACCGTAAAATAGTCTACAGACTTAAGACTGTCATGAAAGATAAACTCTCATTGTTATCTAGTCCACGGCCATTAACATGCTTATTGTGAGACTAAACGTATATCTGGAGGGTTTTATTAAATCAAATAGAGACAAATTTCCATGCTTTTGGTGGGTCTCGCTTGGATTGTTGGGAGCGAGCCAACCAGCATAATTTAGCATACAAAAAAAAATCCAAAACAAAACTCTTGTCTTGTTATCAGTTCTACTTACAGACCTTGTTACAAACCCTTTCTACAGGAAAACTTGAGGTGGCTTTTTTTTTTTTTACATCTGAAGCAGCATTTGGCCCTTTAAAAACTGGAATGCATCATATGGCATGGGTTTCAGCTCTCTGAAAAGTTGGTCCCCCGAATGTATCTTCTCCGATAGAAGGAAGCCAAATTAGTGGCTTTGAAACAAAACCCAAGTTTAAGAACGCCGATTTTGGGATTCGAACTGGGTCATCTACACTGAGGCCCAACAAGATTAAAACCAGATAACATAACCTTGCACCTCTGCAACTGAAGTAAGCGCAGTAGTAGAATGAAAAGTGATTGTTTACTCTACCATGATTGGTCCAGGTGTTGTGAGTGTGGAGGGAGAGGACCGGGGAGGGGAGGTGAGCTGTACGTTTACGAACACATTCACGCGCGCACATGTACATGTGTATCTACACACACACGCGCACACACACACACACACACACACACACACACACACACACACACACACACACACACACACACAAACACAAACACACACACACACACGCACGCGCTCCCCCCCTCTCTCTCTATCTCTCTCTCTCTCTCTCTCTCTCTCTCTCTGCCTCCATCTTTTTAATGACACCCCCCCCCCTCCCACATATTCCATACAAACACGCGCACATGTATACACGCACGCAAGCACTACTCATCCATATTATAACAACAGAGAAACATGCAAGCACATAGAGAGTGGGCAAAAGAAAAGCGTGTGTGGGGAGGGGGGGATGTAGGGGAGACCTCCGTACGTATTGCGATTTTTAAAGGGATGAAGTGCTTGGGACAGCAATTTTGATGATAATTGAGAACAAAAATTTTGCTGTTGATGGTCTGGATTGCAGAGATCAATCAAACTAGATCTAAATGAAAAACAGGTAGGTCAAAGCATGCTGAGAATAAAGGAAATACATTTAAAGCGTGCAAAAGCTAGGAAATTGTGTACACGGAACATGCAGTTTGTGCAGTAAAGTCACGGCGGGAGAAACAGCCGACAGATCCAAAGACATATAAAGCCTTACAGAGGACGTGCACAGGCGAAAGATGCGAGTTATCAAGTTAGGCTTATGTCCTACTGAAATTATAAACCGTGTTTTAGCTCATCTTTGCTCGTTCAAGACAGAACGCAGTTCTCCTGAGGACAGTATCAGACCGTCTTTTTCAGCTACTTTGTCTCCCTTTTAATTCTCCAGATCAATCGACGTTTTAAGAATTTAAATCTCAAGACTGATTACATATTATCCGAATTAGTCGAGAATAGTTAAATATTGTATGTCTTTGGCTGCTTGCTTCATGGCGTTGTATAGAACAAACAAGAAGGAACGTTAAATGCAAGAAACAGATACATTCAGCAGAGTGGTTGGTTTGCAGTTGACAGACCTGGTTAAGAGGCCAAGTTCTGTGGCAGAAGGTCTGACATGTTAAATGGGAATATATAAGCCAGCCACTATGACATATCGCATGCACTGGACGTTACGATGGAAAGTCTTTGGACCCAGGGGCGGGGTGGGGTGAATGGGTACGATATTATAATCTCTATAATCATATTATCACGACTTGAAGACGCGCAGTCAAACCAAAACATGTGTACAAGCTTTCACCGCAGTTAAGCTTTCATAATAATATCCACATGGGAATACATGGGAACTGAACGCTGACCTTTTATATGAAAGACAACATGTCTGGTCATTACAGCACAGTTGCTGCCTCTTAAACTTCGAAGTTTCTTTTTCGCTTTGAAGAATTTAATAAGAAAAGGTGAATGTTCGACATTTTGATATCGTTATATGGTTAAATGGAATAAAAAATACATGATCGGGTGTATACTATTATGACAAGAAAAGGAATCATTGCAGGTTGACGACGGGGAAGGGAAGAGGGTCATCAGCAGGCAGGGGTAGAAGTGCAGAAATAACGGCACTGTGTCTTGTAATAACCTTCTGTCTGCCTCTCGTCTGGTTCATTCTCTGTCGTCAGATCATTTTGAAACTTCACGTTAGAAGACTTTTTTCTGTGTTCAGCGTCATCAGTTCCGTCGTGGGCATCGTCAACTCCAGTTCCGTTCCCGCCAATAAACTCTTTGGTTTCAGGTGGATCCGAGGTGTTGTCTTCACCACCCTTATGTAACTCAATGAGAAACACCGGCGTACTGGTCGTGCCAGACATATCGCCTGTTGTGTTTTCCTTGATTTCTTCTCTCCTCTCCTCGGCGGAGTCTGCTACTCTATCATCAGGCGTGAGACTGAGGTCTGCTGCGTCTTTTTCTGAATATATGTACACCCGTTCAAGGTTATAGTAAAGTTAGAAAAACACTGACGTTTACAAAGGTCATTTGATTACTATTTCTCAGACAAAGACAAGAGAACAGGACTGTCGTGTCTGTCAATATGGGGGCGTCGTAGGCTACCTGTACTACTGTAGTGATCTTATTAAAGCCCTGATAGGATCCTACTGTTCGAATAAAAATGATGTTCAAAAGTGTATAAATTAAAATGTATACGCATCTTTCGATTTCAATTCAGTGGTGGATCAAACTTCCTAACCCAAAATTAGCGATGATAATGATAATAATAGTAGTAGTAATAATAAT